TATCTTTTTCCAAACTGAGGGTTCTGTGAAAATTCACAATGAACATTAGAGCATTAAAGAGACTGAGAAGTTCTGTAGAAGAAAACAACATTTAATTTGGTTTAACTCAACATATCCAAAATTTTGTTGGACTTCAGAACTTTAAAAAATTCCATAGAATGTCTAATAGCATCTGTTGTCCCATGGAGGTACTGAGAGGCAGTCACATGTAATGGTTAGAAGCAGGGTCCCTGAAAGCAGACTGCTCTGAGTTACTTACTAACTGAGTGACTTTGGGCAAGTTATTTAACTTCTCTATGCCTCAGTTTTCTCATCTATAAAATGGAGATATTAGAATTTATTTCGTGAGCGAGTCATAAAGATCAGTTGAGTTACGTAAGCATTAGTTGTTATTATGAGACATTCTGAGTATACTGCTCTTGGAGCATCACTATAAACCTGATGATATTGTTAATTGGCCTTCCTATTATTGTTTGGAGAATGAATACCATTGTGAAGTTAAAAAAAAATTTCAACTACTGTGCTTCATGGAATGTGCTGCACAGGTGAGAAGGTGAGAAGAAACTGCTCTATTGAAAAGAAATGCTGTAATTCCATAGCACCTGCCCTTGAATCTTTCAGCTGGGAGTTCATAATGAAAGTACTATTCATTATCTCCCTAAAGCGTCTTTATCTTTATGGCAGTTCTCACCTTTTGACAGTTGTGTGGATTCTTGCCTACTCATTTATTCGAAGGCGCTCCCAAGTAAATTTTGCTTTGCTGTTTAGCTTGTATTCTAAGCACCCTAAACATCCCTCTAAGTGTGCTGAAAATCCATCTAACTGTTGTATTGTCACACAGTAACAGGCAAACAGGAAATTAACTTTATTTTTTTATTTTATTTTAATTTTTTTATTGAGTTAATGATAGGTTACAATCTTGTGAAATTTCAGTTGTACATTAATGTTTGTCAGTCGTGTTGTAGGTACACCACTTCACCCTTTGTGCCCACCCCCCACCCCACCTTTCCCCTGGTAGCCACTAATCTGTTCTCTTTGTCCACATTTTTAAATTCCTCATATGAGTCGAGTCATACAGAGATTATCCTTCTCTAACTGGCTTATTTCACTTAACATAATTCCCTCCAGGTCCATCCATGTTATTGCAAATGGAATGATTTTGTTCTCTTTTACAGCTAAGTAGTATTCCATTGTGTATATACATACCACATCTTCTTTATCCATTCATCTGTTGATGGGCACTTAGGTTGCTTCCATGTCTTGGCTATTGTAAATAATGCTGCAATGAACACTGGGGTGCATAGGACTTTTGGAATTGCTGACTTCAAGCTCTTTGGATAGATACCCAGTAGTGGAATGGCTGGATCGTATGGTAGTTCTATTTTTAATTTTTTGAGGAATCTCCATACTGTTTTCCATAGTGGCTGCACCAGTTTGCATTCCCACCAACAGTGTATGAGAGTTCCTTTTTCTCCACAACCTCTGCAACATTTGTTACTATTAGTTTTAGATATTTTTGTCATTCTAATGGGTGTAAGGTGATATCTTAGTGTAGTTTTGATTTGCATTTCCCTGATGATCAGCGATGATGAGCATCTTTTCATGTGCCTATTGGCCATCCGTATATCTTCTTTGGAGAAATGTCTGTTCATGTCTCCAGCCCATTTTTTGATTGGGTTGTTTGATTTTTTGTTGTTGAGTTGTGAGTGTTCTTTATATATTATGGATATTAAGCCTTTGTCAGATATATGACTTGCAAATATTTTTTCCCAGTTAGTGGGTTGTTTTTTTGTTTCAATCCTGTTTTCATTTGCCTTGAAGAAGCTCTTTAGTCTGATGAAGTCCCGTTTGTTTATTCTTTCTATTGTTTCCCTTCTCTGAGAAGATAGAGTGTGAAATTAACTTTATTTTTATTAACTTCATCCTAAGAGCACTTCTAGAAACGTTCTATTTTTAAAGGTCCATTTCAAGTATCCCATAATGAGATGTATTCAGATATATTCTTTCCTTTGACTAAAATATCAATGCCTATTGTTTTTAAGTGTGTTACTCAAAACAAATGCTTTTTTTAAAAAAAGCTTATATCTCTGTGTGATGCTGTGAGAATTTTTGATTATTGCATCTTGTGTGTTGCTCAACAGAGTTAATGACCTGTCCAAAGCTATCGATGCTGAAAGGTAGCAGAATGCCACACAAGCCACCTTGTCATCTTTTAAAATAGTTTAGCTCAGTTTGGCAAGGCTCCTGGCCAGAGAGGGAAAAATCTACATCTGAAATGTTTAAGGCGAGAGATCTGTTTAAGTGAAGGGATTGAAGAATAAAATAAAACTGAATTACTCCCTCCTAATCTGACTAGTGTTTACTGGGCACATTAAAAGAATGAGAATCAACTCTAGATAAAATGCACTCAAGATTATTTTTACTCATTTTTTTCTGCTTGATTAGAGTGTGTAGTGGGTAAAGGTTCTCCAGGAGAGGCTATTAACTAGCTGAAAAGAGGCATCAAAAAATGGTACATACTTAGGTGAATTCATCACAACTCAGATGCTTGTTCTCCAAAGGCTCAGAAATTTGATTTGTTCAGCATACAGAGAACAGATCAGACATAGGTTCAACTAAAGCAAACACAGAGGGTTCCATTGGCAGAACCAAGACATCCACTCTCTGAAGGGAGAGCTCTGTGGAAAGCCAAGTTATAATCAGAAGTGTCCAGGAGGAAGTGACGTTCAAGCAAGAGGAAATAGTTTTTTATTTGAGTGGTTAATGGCATGAACATTTGCCAGACTGAGGCCCTATCACTCGACATGGAACATGTCGTACAGGGAACAAATAGGTTATTTTTATTTTGAGGCCCAAGTGTTTCTCTTCTGGTCAGAGTCTGGATGGGGACTATCAGCATCTAGCTCCTTAGATCTCCTTTATGACCAGGCTCACTGTCTCCTCTTCTCCACCTTGTATTTCTCCTGAAGGAATGTATTATCATCAATTAGATTCCACCTTACAGTCCAGTCCAGTCCTGCCTTCTGGAGGAAATATCCTGATTTTCTTGATAAAATTTCAGCTACTTGTGATCTCTTTGACCACTCATTTGCAAATGAGCTCTATCAGTCCAGGTACAGATGAGTGAAAATCCATTTAGGGCTAATTTTGTTAATTAAACTCTCACAGGCTAGTTTTATTTCTCTTATACCTGTACTTGACTCCCCATCTTCTCCATCACCTTCATGTGCTACCCCGTGGTGTTACTACTCTCCCTCCATTCTCCTCACGGGGTAGACCCTTGGATTTTTAGAGGACAGACTTGCATTTACAGCCCAAAGCAAGCATAATCATAAGCTTCAGGTCAAACATTTTTATAGCTCCCAACCCCTTGAATAATTTCTAAATACAATTCTATAGAATATTTACATAGGACATTCTAAATTTGACATTTCACTTCAAAATATGTCTTAAGTGAACCTGGCTGTAAGGGTAAGGTATTCATTCACTGAGTTACCAAGTGGATTTTCCATTTCAGTGTGAAACCAGATGAGATACACAAGGGGTGGAAAAATCAGTTGTGTTCTTTATCTGAGGAGACCACAATTGACAGCGATGCAAAAACCAAACCATTAACCTTTCCAAAGAGCCCCTTTTGTGCTTAACCTTGTTGTTTCCTGTTTGTATCAACCTTGGGGCTCTCCTCCCTGGGGCCTCTAGGACATTGGAGATGGACGAAAGGGCTGGAGTAAATCTCATGTGCACTCTCCAGACCAGGGCAGTTTCCTCAGAGGGAGATAACTTTTGGTCTGTAGGAAGCATTTCAATTCTGAGTCATTTCAGCAAAGTTCTGGTTTGGTGCACAATGTAGAGAACAAATTCGTGGGGACTTTGGAGAGTTAGGGAGGCTCTGGACAAGATCCTGTCCTTTCAGATCTCCTGAGATTTTGAGGTCAGCCTGACCTTATGGTTACTGGGGGGCCGCAAGGCACCCTTTGAGTAAGTGTCTAGTTATGCTTGGAAACCTGGCTAGAACCAAGCAAACCAAGAGAAACTTGCATGTAGCTTGTGGTTCATAGGCCTGGGGGAAAGCTAAGGGACAGTGTCATGGAATGATGCCAAATCATAAAACCCGGTAGATCCCTCTAGGAGTCATCGTTCCTAAGGGGAGGTACAAAGAGAATCCAAGTACTGAGCAATGAAAGAATGTGCTCAAGAGTTAGGATGAGGGACAAGGCCTGGTGAGCTTTTTATGTTGACTAAGAGGCAGTTTTAAAACATCTGCTTTGCAGTATTTAATACAAACCTAGAATAATTCACAAACAGCCATGTACATCAGAAGATATAAACACCCATATTGAGAATAAAACTTTACCCAATACATTTGAAGTCCCAGTGTTCTCCTCTCTGATTGCATCTATTTCCCATGAATTTCCTTATATTTATACTATAAATGTATGTATTCCTGAATTAGATACAATGGTTTTGCAAGTTATTTCCTTCATAAGTATGCTGTTATTCGGCATGACTTCGTCTGTAACTTAACCTTTTTCATTCAACATTACGTTTGTGAGATATATTTGTGTTGATACGTGTAGCACTCATTCATATTTGTTTTGCCAGCAGTGCTTATTTTATGCAGTTGTCCTAGTTGTGGGGAGGGAGGGGGAGAGAGAGAGAAGGAGGAAACCATTTAAGGGACCTGTCCTGTTGTAGACTTAGTCCAGATTGTACACTTAGTGTCTGAAAGTGGTGACCCAATCCACCCATGGCTCAGCTGCAAGGGTGATAATGGGATCTGTCTGGTAAGGAAGCTAATTATAATGGAAAGAACTGAATTTGCTTAAAGAATCTGGAGTCAACTAAATATAAATAATATTTCATGGTAATAAACAATAAATATTTAAAAAATGTAAGTTTACTGATTAAAAATTTTTTGAGTTAGGTGACACTCTTACAAGTGCTAATGGGAAAGATGGCCTAATTAATTTTTCTACCCTTTGTTTTCTCTACCTTTTCAGTGTTTTCTAGATTCTGTCCCAGTGCATCTGATTCCTGCTCTGTAGCTTTCTGAAGGGTTGACATTGAGCATTGTTAGTGAAACTCCGCTGCGACCTGAGTCTACCACACAACAAAGGCTTTGAAGATCTCTTTCAGTTAAAACCATAATGACTTTCTTGGACTGCAGTCCCAGTGGAGCCTGTTTCTGCGTAGCCTGGAAGAATACCTAACTACCAGCAGCAGTTCCTCAGAGGACTTAGAGAAACCACTCTACATCAAACAACTCTGGATTGTTCAGGGGGAACTTAAGGCTAGCGGATATCAACTGACCTGAAAGATTCAACCACTGCTACTCAGAGCTTCTGCTGAAATACCATGTCTAAGAACACAGAGTTCATCAATCTGTCATTTTTATTAGACCATGAGAAGGAAATGATCCTGGGAGTCCTAAAGAGAGATGAATATTTGAAAAAAGTGGAGGACAAGAGGATAAGGTAATACTCTTTTATCTTGTTTGCCCTCCTTGACTGCTTTCTGTTTGTTTGAAGCAATTCAGATCAGAAATGGGGCAACTGCAACCACACTGGAGACAAATGTTGGTCAATGACTTCATGGGTTCCCAGCAGTAGCCCAAATAGAAAACATCTTTGGCATTTTGTCGTTTAGCTAGGTGGAAGGATGGAATTTAGCTATAAACATGGTGCTTATGAGAATGTCCATTTGCTAAGAAGGTCAGAATGATTAATGAAGTAGAAGGACTACCCGGGTTTAAGTACCAGCTCTGAGATGTATTAGTAGTATGACCTTGAACAAGTTACTCAGCTTGTCTATGCCTTGGTTTTCTCATCAATAAAACAAGGATAATAATAGTACCTACCTTATAGGATTATTGCAAGCATTAAGGAAGATGATACATGTATAGTGCCTGGACCTGAGTGCACAATAAATTTAAGCTATTATTTATTTATAATGCTTTCTCAAGTCAGTCTTACTGGGAATTTGCCTCAACCATAGCTGGGAGAAGAAGGGGATCTGGAGACTGAAAAGTTCTCATTGTGCCCCAGAAATCACCTGAATTTCTTGAAATAAGTTTCTGTGTGAGGAAAGTTGGGTAATATGGGCACAGTTGAGTTTCACATCAGTTGTAGGCAGGGTTAATATAGCTGAAACCCCAGGTGTGACTTCGCCTGTGTTTCAGCCAGCATCCATTCTGATTGGTTGCATCATCTGTTCCAAAAGGTCACAGCATCGTTCTGATTGGCTGCCACGTCCATTGTGATTGTTTGCTGCCGGTGCTGTCAATATATTAAATATATTTGGTTATTACATCTCACCCCTGAATAGAGGATCAGAAATAAACAGAGTCACTGCCTACTGTGCAATATGTCACTTTTGTGTCTTATATGTCTCCCCAAACTGCAACCAGAAGCTTAGGTTTATTTTACTTGAGGAGAAAACTTGTCATAAGATTATCTTCACATACTGCAAAAATATTCAACACGCCAAAGGAACTAGGATCCTTAGAATTGGAAATACATTGAAATATTGTTGTTTTCATAGTTAAGAGCCAAAAATTTTCATTTCCATCATTCCAAGATATTCAACCAATCTTAAAGAAACAAAGGCTTTGGTTAAAATTATTACTCTCTTTTTATACCTGGAATTCAGGTGGCAATGAAATGCACTTAATGGTTTTAAAGAAATCAGAAATGATATTTTTGGCACTGGGAGTCCAGTCATGAAAAGTGGCTAAATTTTCTAATGCACTTCAAAAAGTTATATTGTTTATGGGGGGTGAGCTATTAACCAGTTATTGATGACATTCTCAGGGGAATTAAAAATCACTGCCTTCAGGAAAAAAACAATAATGAGATCCCAGGAAACACCGAAGTACAATGAATAGGACATTGTTTAGAATATTTGTTTTTGTCATTTTCAATAACTTTTAGTAATAATCTGTTATACTTGCTCTTCTTTTTTCTCTATTTTTCTTTCCTTGTTGTCTTTCCTTATTCTGTGTAAAGAAATTTAGCCAAATTGTGTAATATACAACAGAGCTATCAAGAATAAAGTTGTTGATATCCTGGCTCTTTCAACTTTTTTGAGGATAACAGAAGAAAGGCTTTTATAAAAGCCTTTCTAAGAGATCTAAGAGATACTTTTATAGAAAACAGAACATCTATTTTCTAGAAATGTCTATCTTATAGAAAATAGATTTTTTTAAGCTGTTATGTTTTCTTCCCTTCTTTAATAACAGCAGTGTCTAATATTTTTTGAGTGTTTTTTCCTGCACTAACTGTGTCAGATGTGTTGTCTTGTTTTATTCTGAGCTACTAAGATATGAGCCCAGGCCAGAAAACTCAGGCTCTTCCGCGTTTAACAGCTTTGTGTTTTGAGAAGTCACGCCAAAGTGAGTGGCAGGGGTGTTTAGAGTGCGTGCTGTTGAATCGCACTCATATATTTGTTGATTAAAATCTTAGTTACACCATGAAATCTTTGTGTCACTTTAGACAAGTCACTTCCACGGGTGGATCTAGTTTCCTCATTTGACAAAACAAATAATATTAGGTACCTCAGAAGATTGTTGTAAGGATTAAATAAGCTAATATTATCAAGAGCTTAGAACAATGCTGGCATACAGTAAGCACACAATAATTGATGGCTATAATCGTTAGCCCCATTGTGGTCTGTGTTGCCCTTGATTTATGAGTTGTAGTGAACACCATCAGTGCTCCACTCAGATCCTTTAGGGTCCCGTTGTTGGATCTGTGCTCTCATCTCCCCGTTTCCACATCCTTTACTGCTAAGGGCTGGGACCTACTACTTTCTTTAGAGGACTACCTTTGGGTGGCTGGAGTTGCCCATAGGATTAGAGAGCCACAAGCACCAGGTAAATTTGAGTGTATGTCCCTACTGGGCAGCCACAAGCCAATGGCTGAGGTACAGAAACCCCTTGCCTCAAGGCAAGACAGACTGTGCAATGCAACTTCTGCTTCAGAGCTCCCCATGGGATCATGCTGAAACTGGACTTCACCTAAGAAACACATCTTTGCTCAGCCCCTCTCCCCTTCTCTCTCCTGCCTCTCCTACTCCCTTACAGGTTCCTCCTGAGAGCACTGCAAAAATCATTTGCACACAAATCTATATCTCAGAGTTAGCTTCTAGAAAGCCCAATCAGGAGGTTTGCCAGACCAGACAGGGAACTTAGTCCTTTTTACTTGATAGCTTCCAAAATCATCAACACAAGGAATTTATGGTGTAGCATATTTTATTGCAGCAGTAAACTTTTGTGCTAGCTGGTACAATAATTGTTTTCACTATGCTACAGAGGTGTAGGTTGATATATTCTAGGAGTCTAGAGGAAGAAGTAATTAATTATGAATAAGATAGAAACTGAAGGAATGGTTTCACGGAAGAGGTAACATTTGAGCTGAGCTTTAAAATGTGAAAAAGGATTTTGACATTGGCAAATGCATGTCAACTGTGTTTCAGCTGTGAACTGTGAACCACAAAATCACCTTCAGTTTCTGTTCAAAGGTTTCAGGAGGAAATGGAAGCCAAAGAAAATTTTTAAGAATTATGATTACAAAGAAGAAACTGATCTGGAAAGTTAGTAAATTGAAGTTTGGGAAACAGTGGATTTATTGTTTGCTTGTGTATTTATTTGCTTGAGTAGGTTGTCCTTAGACATAAAGAACGTAGACAATGGGAGAGTGTAAAAATTGTATTGAATCAATGTTTTAGGCTTGTCGCCCGACTGTGCTCCACAGTCCACATAGCCACTGAAGTGTGGCATTAATGAAGGTGGGACTGGTCTCTGGGTGCTCCTAAAGGTGCTCTGCGCCCAAAGGCACATGAGAAGCCTGATAATTACCTCCAGGCATGAATTGTAGGCTGTGGAGAGTCATCTGCCTACTACCAGAGCAATCTAGCTTCACCCAAGAGGCTCACATACATTTGTTCTTCTCTTTCAGACCAAGCAAGAAGGAGTGGTAGGCAATATCTAGACACAGGTTTTACTATTAGTAAGAATATTTTAAATGTTTTCTGTGGAGAACAAATCACTTAGGTTTATTGATGACTGTAATGCAATGAAGAAAGAGGGAAGAAGTGATGCAAAGAAAATTAAGCCATCAACAGTGATTGCAAATGGAAAAAAACCCCAACCATTTGGAAGCACAAAATAAAAATCTTTGTTGCTCATTTTGTACCTTCAATTTTTCTAACTTTGGAAGAACTCAGCCTAACATAAAAGAGTACATGGTATCTGCTCCAAAAAACATATCTCATTAACAAATTCTTACTCTACTTGATCTTCCACACCTAAAAGCAAATACTGTTACATATCTACTTTGGAAGTATTGGTCTATATAAGAAATCTTCATTTATAATCTTAACTTATAAGTGACTATTCATTTCAGCAGTTCACCATGGATTTTATTCTCACTAAGAGGATGTCATTTCCATTTGGCCACAATGCATGAAAACATATCTGGACTTAACATTCTCTTTGGCACCGGTTCTTGGGCTTGTCTCAGTGATGAATGCCATTGGTTGCCTTACAGCAAACATTTCTTTTTTCTTACTCCCTACTCAAACCTCAGTTTTGTTTAGCTCCAGCAAACTTTTTCTGTAAAGGGCCAGATAGCAAATATTTTAGGCTCTACAGGGCATGTGTTTTCTGTTATGACTACTTCACTCTTCCATTGTAGTATGAAAGCAGCAATAGACAATATGTAAACAAATGGGTATAGCTGTGTTCCAATAAAACTTTATTTACAAAAACAGATGGTGGGCTGGATTTGGCCCAAGGGCAGTAGTTTTCTGAGCTTTGGTGTCAAAAACAACACCTTGGTTGGTTCTAGCCTTGGAAATAGCTGCATACACCTGAAAGCCTAGATAAGCCATCTCAGGGAGAAGCAGTACATTTAGAATCCAAGAGATAAGATAAGAGTTGGACTAGAAACCATCAGTCAGCTATCAGAGATAGAACATGGGCTTCTGTCTGGGAGATTAGATGATTTCATAGGCTCCTACCATCTCCAGGAGATTTTTATGCCTCACCTAATCTTAGTAGCTCGTGTGCTGGAACAATTTAAATGTGTTTCGTTGTCTCTATAGAAGAACAGCAAAATGAATCTGGAAGTATAGAAAATACCAAGAAATAGCAGAAAGTTCTGCAAAATTGTGGGGGACAGATTACAAATTCCTTTTCCCGATGAGATAAGAAGTATTGATATCCCCATTTATAGATGGGGAAACTGAAGTGCAAAGTTAAATGACTTGTCCAAGGTCACACAGCTAGTAAGTGGCAGAACTGCGATTTGTAGTCCCACCATCTGGCTCCAGAGCTCCCACTCCACTCTTAAGTCACTTTTAATTTCTGAGTGATATGTCTGTCCTTTCAGGGGGGCCAGAAAAAAAGAGATGGTAAACTATCTAGTGCCTACCTCACACCAGAGAATGTCTTACTCCATTCACAAATGTATCCTCA